CACATGTCGAATTTTATCTCTTGACGTAGACGCCAGCCTGTGTAGTCTCAGAAGAGTACACATGAAGCGCCGTGGTACGCTGCTGGTCGGCGAAACCAGTGGCCAAAGAAGGTAACTTTGGGAACTGCGCTTGGACGCAAGGAATGCGAAACTTGTACGTAAGATCTGGCAAACCGACCTTCACTGCATGGTCGGTATGCACCTTTTCAGCGTTTAATCACCCAGGCAAAACGTGCCCGTCCCCCAGCTTGCGGCCGCACGCCCGGCGTACAGTATTTTGCGGAGCTACAGTACGTACTCGGAACGAAATCCGTAGACCAGTAGACAATGACGACAGCGGGCAAGACGCAGGTTTTGGAATGGTCTATATAGGTCGGTCATCTTCATCAAAAGCCTACACCGTCACGCCAGTCGTTGCAGCAAAGAAGTACGCTACCTGTAATTGCTTTCGAGACCGGTTATAACGAAGTCAACGTGAATCGGAAATCACTTCGCTATATCCACTGTTTTATTATAACCGAATTCGGTTATAACGAAGTGCAAAAGGGAATGGGAAATCGTGATCGCTTCGCTGTAGCCGCTATTTCGTTATAACCGACTTCGTTATAACCGGTCTCGAGAGTAGCACAAAGAGCGACTTTTATTTAGGTATTTTGCTTAAAGGAGCTGTGCAACAATCTCGCTGCTGTGCTTAAATAATTTAGGAGTTGGTATCTCTACCTCACTGAAGTAAAGAACAAAAAACCGCTTTTGCCTACATGACCTAGTTTGTATTTTAAAAATTGACAAAGGTTGAGGTTTTCGACACCTCTCAACCCCTTCACCATCTTCCTAGCCACGTGCTCTGTGACGTGAAAGGAGGACGCGCGACGTTCCGGTGAAGCTCCCTTCCCATACATGGCTTGCACATGACGTCATTTCCGATGACCTCCAGAGGAAAGGGGAAGAAGCAGCTCCCCTCTTATCAGGAGTCTCCTTTGTGCCTCCCGGATTTGCACAGGCGTCGGTAATCTCCTCCCAGAAATTTATAGAAGGTGAACCTGCCACTCAAATTTTTTTCAAAAGCAGCTTCCCTCTTCTCCTTTTACATGGTGTTCAAAAGTATGTGATATGACGTCAGTGCAAGGAGCCTATAGTAGATTACAAGTTAAGAAGGTAGCGGCAAATGCCCCTCAAGGGGAATCATATATCCCTCCGCCACCTCCACATCCAATAGTGTCCCATCGTTTCCGCGGCGTCGCGGCAAACGCGCGAGGAGGGTCTTGCCTTTCTGTACATATTTGCTTTATCTTTCGACTTTGACTTAGCCTTGTGGATGCCACGAGAAGGAGATTAGAGTTTTCCCACTCCGATGGAAACAAATACGACTTTCGGGGACTAGCTTCCCCCTCCGATGGATGCAAAGGCTGCTTTCAGGGGCTCGGTTCCCCCTCCAATGAATACAAATGTCGCTTTTTTTAAAAAGTGTGGGTCGAAGACAAGTTGGCACCACTCTGTGGCCATTATCTATCCATCGAAGCGGAACAAGGAGCGTTTCCTGTGAACTCTTCTTTCGACTGCGGAGGGATTTGAAACGGGCGCATCACGCTTGTGGGAGGAGCTTCTCCTACACGGTAAAAACGTTCCGTAAAAAAACGTAGGACTTCTCATTAAAAGCTACGGAGAAGCATCCGTAATCTGAAATACGGTTGACTTGTCCGTAAATCTAAAGTTACGATTCTGTAAACAACAACAAAAGTTGTTCGCAACAAGCTGAAAATTGTCTTATTAGGTTTAGACTAATAGACAACGGTTCTCACTCTTTAAAATACCATTTATTACACTGTTAAACAACTTATAATAAAGGTTCTGAAACGAGGTGGCGCTAGTTACCGCTTAGTCGAAAAGGCTCGAGGTGAGCTTTTTGTCTAGTACAATCACACTACCGCTATCTCTTCATCTACCCATCTCCGCTCGCTTGTTTTCCTTGTTTTGCTACCGCGCTTGTTTTGTCGAGGGGTAAAGGCGCTTGGTAATTTTTGCGGTTGCGACTGTTCTACGTTAAACTACCTTGTTGTTATCAAAACGGTGAGTTTGTTCTGCTCTTTTTATTAACATTGATTGGGGACTGTCATATATGCGTTCGTATTTTTGACACTTATTTCCTCGAAAGGAACGAAATCACGGATTTGCGTCGCTTTAAACTTTCGGGTTCAATGACGGTCGCCGCTATCTCAGTTCGTGTTTGACGTTCTTCTCAGAATTGAAAGCTCATGTCCGGTACTCGTTTGAACCTTGTGTCATGTCGCGAGCTCGCTGGTACGCGCGGTTCGTCGTTCGTAGCGATTGGGAGGCTGTTCGCGCGTGCTGGCTGGCAGGAGTGTTGCAGTAAAGCACATGACAACGCATTGTCTGAGTGCGTGAGTGTGCTTTACGAGTTTCGCAACGTTGTTCGCGCGGCCTGTAGCCTGCTCTTTTCGCCGGGGGGTCCCTATTGTTTCGTCGAAATTCGTTTCGCGGAAGTACGTTTCGTGGACAACTTTTCATGGACACGTTTCGTCGACACGAACGTTTCATCGGCACTCGTTACGCGAATTTCACGCTGCAGGGTCGTTTCGCCACGCGTGTATCAGTGAAGTGCGCGTTAACCCACACTCCCGCTTGCGTTCACACCACTTCGCGGTGACAGCCTGCGGCTGCACATTACAAAAATGTTGACCCACCTAACCGACCCGTACAAGTCGCTTCGCGGCGACAGTCTCGTGCAGGTTATTAACCCCCCCCCCCCCCCCCCCCCAAAAAAAAAAAAAAAAAAAAAAGAAATAATTTGAGGTGTTGATGAAACGATCTGTCGAGGAAACGTCGTTCGATGAACTGATTCCTACCGGTGTATCACCACTGCGTGATGCGCGTTCACTAGTTAGCCATCACAATGCAGCTGATGAATTTCTCATTTCACAGAATGCATCTGTGTCACCGTACGCTGATTCCCCCCAACCACATGGTCTAAGACCGTCGTATTGATATTAATTTTTATGCTCATAATATTCTATGTGTATATTAAAGCAATATATGTCCACTCATTACTTGCATGGCGCCACTCAGGAGGGCACGTGATACCACTGTTCCACGGACTGTAAAATTGTATGCATTAATCTTGGCTCTGCAGTCAGACTGTTTGTAAAGAGCTTAGCCACCGTTCCTGCAGATTCAAATCGTCTGAGATGCAAGCTCGTATTTTTTTCAGGAGGCGTCATCAATAACAATTGCACGCCTCCTTGTCACTGAGCGTCAGCCAATGTTTAAAGAGCCTATGCCATTCTTGAAGGCGGTATGCGTCTTGTTTGGAGCTTTTTGCGTGTTAAATTTACCTATCTAAAGGAAGCTTTGGCCAGTCTCGAGTTTATTCAACGGGGAGAGAATCTTAAAATGTGTCAAGTCCACAGGATATGTCATAGAATGACATAATCTATATCACCCTTTCATTTATCGTGCCGTAATGCCCTTTTTCACAACTCGCACAAACATTTGAGCTGTATTAATTTTACAAAGAATTACGCTGATGCATTTTTATAATGAATTGATAACATGTGAACACTGGTTGTCATTAGGCTGTAACTTTCAAGGCTGGGAAACATGGTTATCTTGTATAAACCAGCACGCAGCACTGACGTCTTGCAGCTGCGGCGGCGCTGTCGATGGCACTGCGCATGCGCGCACACTTCATTTCACGCTAATTTGGTTTCTGCGCATGCGCAGTGCCCACACCTGGTGTGGGCAAACGCGGGCTTGTGTATAAACAGCGTGTCGGTGTATAGAATGTGTATTTGTTCAGCAGTCTTTCAGGTTTAACATGATCCAACACTACCATAGTCTGACCTGATAATAGAAAAAAAAATGGCTTTACCTTCACCAGGCTGAGTATTCATGAAGCAAGCATGGCATTAATGTTAGATGATGCAATATATCCTCTTAGACTAATCTTCCAAATCAACCTGGAGAAGGGGTTGAAGAAAATGGGAGCAGTGAAGAGAACGATGGCCCATCGCAAGATTTTAGCGCTGCTGAAGGGCTTCAAATGAGTCTCCACAGAAATCCCTTGAATCTGTATGTTTTTTTATGGTAAGTGCAAATTTGAATTCCTGCACGTCTAGCGTGTCTCTGAGAGGGAGATAACTCTAATGTGGCTGACGCCAACCTTTTAAGAAGTGTAAGGAAGGGCTTTGGGAATATTCAAAACTTCCAAATATCGAAGCGAATGATGTCATATTTTGTTTATACTTTCATTGAATATGACGGTTCTGCAGCTGTACCAATTTTCAATCTGAGAATGCTCCAGGACACACCATCTTAAACAAGCAACTGAAACGACTCGCAAAAGCCCACACAGAAGTCTGGAAACTATGCAAATAAAACTTACTATTTCCACTCGTTCATTTAAAACTGGAAGTCATCCTATAATTGTAAACAAAGATGTTTGATTTATAAAATTCTTGAGCCCCCAGAGCAAATGCATGATTTGCTGCGATACGCTGCTGTGAACCGGTGGTGCATGCATGCAGTGCGAGTGCTACAATGTCAAGGCAGATGTGGCTGACATGATATGGTATTCATATCCTGTGTTATCAGGAGTCTGCATCTGTTTAATTACAGCAACCAGCATCCTGCCATTTTGCAGCTTATCTCCTTGCAACTTTTTTGCCCCTTGCTCTCGCACAAAATAATTATTCGTTCAATATTTAAATGTATTATTATTAAATAGTAACTTTTAAGCTTCGAAGTAAGTGAAGCTGCGTGGTTTTTCTTTTTGTTTTATACAGTTTTTTCAAAGCACAAGTCGGCCGGTTTGGCAGCCACCTGCAGCTATGCTTGTACTGCTTGACTACTTATCATGTCCAGTGCCAACTGCTATTTAAGCTGCTCTAACTTGATTGAATTGATAGTCGAACAATCTTGTGTCTTGTTTTTCAGAAAATACGGTTTGCACCTCAAGACATCGAGCAATGTTTGATGATTTAACCATTTGAACAAGTTGAATTACGGAGTCAACTTCGCTTTTGTTTTTCTATAGTAAGTCACAAATCTGAGCTTTTACAGATTGAGCATGTCCCTGGGAGGGAGGCAACGCTGATGTAGCTGATGTCACTTTTTCGACAACTGTTGTAGCAATATCAGCCGCTTCTAACATGGTGCCACTAAAACCCCAGTTTGAGTATGTATCAAGCTTTTTTCTATTCCATATTTTAGCAGGTTATGAGTTAACTTCAAAATGGAACTACATGGTTCATTTTTGCTTTGTAGAGGGTTTTTCAGGGCACAAGTTGGCTGATCTCTGGCAGCCTCCTGCAGCCATGCTTGCACTGCAGTGTTACTTTGCATGTCTAGTGCCAGCTGTGATTTAAGCTACTCTTACTTGCCTAAACTAGCATTCTGACAGTCTTGTGTGTCTTGTTTTTCAGAAAAAATAGGTAGCAGCTCGAAACGTCGATAAATGTTTGGTGATTTAACCATTTCAACAAGTCGAGTTACAGAGTCAACCTCGCTTGTGTTTTTTATGGTAAGTCACAAGTCTGATTTCTTACATATTGAGCATGTCCCTGAGAGGGAGGCAACGCTGATGTAGCTGATGTCACTTTTTCAACAACTGTTGTAGCAATATCAGCCACATCTAACATGGTGCCACTAAAGCCCCAGTTGGAGCATGTATCCAGCCTTTTTCTAATGCATATTTTAGCAGGTTATGAGTTAACTTCGCAATGGAAAAGCATGGTTCATTCTTGTTTTGTAGAGGTTTTTCAGGGCACAAGTTGGCTGATCTCTGGCAGCCTCCCCATACTTGCACTGCAGGGTTACTTTGCATGTCCAGTACCAACTGCGATTTAAGCTACTCTCGCGTGCTTAAACTGGTATTCTGACAGTCTTGTGTATGTCTTGTTTTTCAGAAGATACGGTTAGCATCTCGAAATGTCGAGCAACGTTTGATGATTTAACCATTTGAACAACTCTAGTTACGGAGTCAACTTCGCTGGTGTATTTTCATGGTAAGTAAAAGGTCTGAGTTATTACAGATCGAACAGGACTCTGAGAGGGAGACAACGCTGATCTAGCTCGTGTCACTTTTCCGACAAGTTATGTAGTAGTGTCCATCACATGTAACATTGTTTTGGCCCCAACTGGTGTTACTATGCACTATAGCTAGATTCAAACCTAATATGCTAAATTCATTTGAATCTAGTTACTATAGCTAAATTCAAGCCTACTAGGTCACCTGCTGCTGGCTTTTTGTAGCCAATGATTTGCCACGTTTGATTCGCAGGTAGTATTAAGTAGTGACACGTTGCAAGTAACATATTAATGTAACAATTGTTTTCTTGTTTGTGGGAAGTAACTTCTGTAACTTCTCGCTAAGTTTGTTGGAAGTAACTTCTGTATCACATTATTCTTTTCTGGATAAAAAGAAAGTAGCAATGTTCTTTTGTAGTTAATTTTCTAATCTTTCTAATTACAGTTACATTGAGGAGCATAATCTGATGCATACCTTATATCTAGATTGTCATGGATAGACAACGACCAAAAAGATAACGCATTTTGGATTATGATTACAGAGAAAACACTGACTACAGATAAACGAGGAGAATTTTCTTTTTCAACTCCCTCCAAAAGTTGTGCGTACTGTGAGGCGCAGTGGTGGAGAAAGATAACCTCAGCGGCAATGGCTTTGTGTATCATTAAGGTCTTAACCAGGAACAAATCCTTGTGTGTGCAAGCCATTCCACCGAGTGTGCCAGTTGAAAGCTTGTTCAGCGATGGAAATAGATGCGCTTGCCTTCAGTAAAGTAAAGATTTTGGATGAAAATTTACAAAAGCAACCGCTGCTTTAACATAAGATGTAATAACACGGATACAGGCACTTTGTGCAATAAACCTGAGCATAGACGGTTCCTACTTTTCCTTGTTTATTTCTTTAATAAAAAAGTCAGGTAAAATAATGGAATTACCTCTTAAGAATAACTGTTATAGGTTACCTTTTTCTTAACTAGCTTAATTAGGTAGTTTTTGTATATAAAGTATCTTGACCAAGGTGACAAATATTGCAAGGGCCCTCTAAATGCATATTTTTTGCTTAGTTTATGTGGATGCATACAAGGTCTTGCTGCAAGAAGATTCTAAATCTGCTTTCTTGTATATTCTAACACATTATAATGTAACCTTTAACTAAAGGGAACTGCATGGTTCTTTAGTCTTGTTTGTAGGAATTTCTTAGAGCACAGGTCCGCTGATTTCTGGCAGTCTCCTGTGGCCATTGCACTGCGAGATTACCTTTCATGCTTATAGCCAGCTACAATTTAAGCAACTCTCATTTGTATAGATTGTCATTCGTGTTTGTCTTTTTTTTTCAGGAACTACATTTGAAACTGTACAACGTGGAGCAGTTTTTGACGATTGAGAACTTTGAAAAAGTCAGTTTGTGGAGTTGGCTGCACATGTTTTTTGCTGGCAAGTAAATATTTCAGTTTTTAAAATCTAGCATGTCTGAGATAAAAGCAAACCTGATGTGACTGACAGCACCCTTCTGAAAACTGTTTGGACAATATTGGTCACATCTAACCAGGGTTTTTCCCACGGTGGGTGGCAGTGGCTTCGCTGCCAACTAGTCCTGCTAGCCACCCAATTCCTTGAAAAATGTCTTGTGGCCTGCATGTTTTGGCTTGGAAATCCACAGTGCTCGCCAGATTTCTGTGCCATGACATGCAGGTACAGGTCCCCACAATCCAAATTAATGCGACTTGGTTGAGGTGCTAGGAGAAGAAAGCTGCAGCTGCTGCCTCTGTCCCCCTCCCCTCCACAGTCGCAGTCGGATGTCTATTTGTCTACAATTTATGAAGAAAAATCTGCGTCTAACATTTATTTTATCCTAAAATGTACAGCTTCACTAGATCAAAGGCCACATTAATTATTAAGGCCTTCCACAAGATTGGCTTTTTCCTCTTTATCTGTGCAGACCCGATTATAGTCTCTGTAAATTAATTTTAAGCGGTTGGCTTCTCTTTTATTTATTTCTAGTAGATATAAAATAACTGATGTAATGAAAGTTTCATGGTACTTTTTTTTTAATGGGTTGCTTGTTTCAGCTTGTCCTGTTTTCAATTTAAATGCGACAGCATTTGTGGGTGAACCTTTTATCACTTTTTATTGGTCAGTTGGTGTGTTGGATGGTTCATGTGACCGATTTGACTCTAGCACAGGCAACGGCACAGGCACTTGAGGACAGCTTGGTTTGTATGAGCACTCATGCAGAGAGAACACTTTTTAAAATCGTGCATCTGACCCTATGCCTTTGCCAGCTCCAAAACCAACTTGTGAATTGGAGTACCTATATGGCATGCAGGTACACCAAACTGTATCGTTCGCACACATCAGAACAATCTCTTAGAGAAAATTATAAAGAAGAATCTCCCTTTCAACGGGCAACAAAAAAAAAATGCGCAGTCAGAATGCGCTGACGAAGTGGCCAAGTGAGCTCCTTGAGTGGTAGGCACTTGGGTAAAAAAATGGCTAGATCACATTTGGGGGGTAATCAGGTGCACAAAGTGTGGAGCTTGCAAACAGACATGTATGCCATATAAAAATACTCTGTTAATTTTTAACTCGCTCGACTCAAAAGCGTGTGCACAGGTGTGCTCAAACGTGGATAGGATGGAGCTCCCAAATTGTGAGATTGGCAGGGGTGGAACAGCTGCGCCATTTTGCGCCAGACGCATGTGTCTGCGCCATCCTGCGCCGCAGTTAATACCTCGTGCCATTATGCGCCAAATGGCAAAACGTGCGCCAAAAGCTTTTTTATTTTGTCTTGGTTTCGGTTTTATTGACTTGATTGGCCACAATGAGCGCGTTTAGCCTGACCGGCCTTGTAATCCTTTGTTCTGTTTATTCTCCCTGTGTATCCCGAGTAGGAAGCGCGCGAAAAAAACTCGGGATTCTAAGCTCTACACCACCTCCTGCGACTGGATTGTTATTCTTTAACCATAAGCGGTTAAGCAAGTCGGCTGAGCTGACGTCGAGCCGTTAAGCATCAGATTGCCTGAGGCTCTGCGGCCCGGGATCCGGACGTCAGCCAGTTGAAAACAAATGAGCAAAATATTCCTTTTAGTACTTCATTGTTAGAAGTTGGAACTGCATTCCCGCAAGATAAATTGTGATTTGATAGAACTGAAACACTGTCCGATCCGAAACCTTGCCGGCCAGCAGCTCTTACGCGAGTGGTAAATCTGCTCGGCATACATTAACCTTGCTCCTGCTTATCGCTTCAAATACGATAACTTCGTTAATCGTAGTCTGCTGCTTCGATATCGAGTTGCACAATAGGTTAAAGTCAAAATTTGTTGCCCTATTCCTCCATGCAACTCCACGTCCGTTGCTTATGCACGTCACGTGGTTCGCACATATAATTACTGTGTCGAGCACGTGTGGGTTGTGCGATAAGCAGTGCTGGTTTGCATTTTGAGCAACTGAAATCCATTCATAAAATGTCAAGGATACTATCTTCAGAAACATAGGGTACTTGCTTTTTGATTCTCATTCACCGCTCATTCACACTGGAAGCGGATCCGCGTTCGCAAAGCGGTTGCGAACGCGGTTGTATAAAGATCCAGTACATTTGCACATGCACTCGATGACATCAAGTGCGCATGCAATTGTACTGGATCTTTATACAACCGCGTTCGCAGCCGCTTTGCGAACGCGGATCCGCTTCCAGTGTGAATGAGCGGTAAGGCTCACAAAGTTTCAAGTTTTCGCATCTATTATGCTGTTATCCCATCTACCTAGGTCCCTAACCACTCATGTTCATCTGTGCTGCTAAGCACGATTGATATTGCTCCCGTGCTTGTCTAAGACACAAGCTGAAGTGCAATGAAAACTGATCTGAGCTGCTCCTAGCCTGCTCCACAGCATAGTTTTAGCTGCTCCCAACCTGCTCCAAAACAGCTGTTTCAGCTGCTCCCGTGGCTACTCCCAAGTACATTTCATGAGTTCCACCCCTGGATTGGGTACTGGGGAGGAAGCTACTGCTTAGTCCCCAGTTTCTGATAGCAGTTTTAGTACAAATGCACTCTCTCACCCCCTCAGTTCTGTGAAAACTTTCAGGGATATCTAAAGAGAAAATAAAGTTTTTAATGCTCGTGCTCTCTAAGCACTCGAGGCTGACCACCTGATTCGACGACGCGAAAGAGTGCAAGTAGCCCTTCGTTCTAATAGGAGATTTTAAGTGGCTGCCCAAACTTAGAAAACTCTAGGATATGAGCTTAGCCAGTTTTACATAGACTCTTCTGCAACATCTCATGAACCTTAGAAATAAAGCATTACTCAAACTGGATCGAGTTTTCCGGTTGGTTCATCAGTTCTCAAGAAATGTTTCACATTATAAAGCAAATCACTATTGTAATTCCGGCATTGCATTTTTTCACAGTTTCGAACGAATCTAAGCTTGAATGAAGTGTATCGGTTTTGACTAAGGAACAGGAGAACAAGACCCTCAAGTCAAACATAGGTTTTAGATATCGGATCACAGGATGAATAATTAGGGGCTATGTCCATTTGACTTTTGTATAAGATGCATGACTAATAATTAAATGCGCTGAGGGGGGCTGTGTCTTATGCACAAAGCTCAATATGCACATGTTGATTTGATACAGATATTTAATTATTTTTTCTTTGTTTTCTCTTCTTTAGCACATCACGTTACATGCCACATCTGAAAACAAAGGCAAAACACCACGGGGCTCCACTTTGGCTTCTCAAGGACCGAAATAAAGTGTTCGAAGGTACTTTTCTTATTTTCTGATCAATTATTCAGGTGACATTGCATGATTGTTGCAAGCAGCATAGGAAAGAATACTCAATATTCTTTCAAAGAGATCCTTTTCCAATTCAAAATTCTGTAACCTTTTTTTTTTATAGAAAACCTGTTGGTCTCAGCGTCATAATGAACATT